CTCCCTTTTAATTAAGAACAGGAACAGCAATTAACAGCAACTATATTAGCACCATTACCGTGACCATTAGTGGATGGCACAGTGCAGAGACTTCTTGACACTAAACACATAAGTCCAGTGCATGGCCTGGAACCCGCATGGTCTAAGTGGGGAGCCAACGGAGAGCAAAGGATCCAAGGCTTACACACCAGAAGTCATCCTGCTTTCCCTGTGGAGTTTTCCAACTGATTGTGATTGTGTTCCTTTGATATTATTTACGCCACTGGAGAAGCTCTTTCTAGCCCAAAAGGCATGGGATCCATCTAGCAGAGTGGCCAAACGACCCCGACATCCAAACATTGCTACGGGGACCCTAGGGCTGCGTCCCTCAGCAGTTTGGGGGTGGCTTGAAGTATCAATTGATTTTAATTTCTGGATATATGTTGATGTGGGTGAAGCCTGCACTAGCATCTTCAGCCTCTAGGGGAAATTTCTCTAATCAGCACGTGGGTTTGTAGTCCATATTGTTCGATGCCCGGGGAGATGAGCAGCAGAGGGGCTGGGTTAAGGCCGTGTCTGCCAGTGGGGGCCCATAGCTCCACTATCAGCGGGGCTGGGTATCCACTCCGGGTTGCAGCCTGAACTTTGACGGCGCATAACGAGCACTGACCCTCCCTGCGGGTGGGTTCAGCAGCACGGGCAGCCGCTTGCACGAACCCTGCACTGGCTCTGGAGCCCCACCGGCCACGGACGCCTGCCCGCTTCTGCAAGCACTCCAGGCGCCCTGCTCAGAAGTGCCACTCCCCTTTTGTTCTTGCTTTCAAGTATCCGTCCGCTGTGGACCAGGAAGCAGCCGGACTGCAGAACAGCACATTGTTCCTCAACAAGGTAATCTCTGGGCCAAGCGGCTGGGCGGGAGATACTGGCTGACATTCCTGGGAGTCTTCCCAGTGCCAGGCACGGGGCACAGGCAGACCCCGGGGAACGTGGGATGTGGGGCACAGGCCCCTCCAGTTCCCATGCATCCTTCTGCCCCTGCCCCAGCCCCACTGATAATTCACGGATGCTGCTGGCTCGGAAGGGAGGGGGTCGGCAAAGCCCAAGCTTGTGTCTCCCCTGTGCCTCTGGAAGTGCCGATTCTTTCCCACCTTCCCCAGCCTGGGGCTGCCCAAGTAGGTTGGAGTCCAGTTCCCAGCAGCTCCAGGCCACTCCAGATTGGGCACGGCTTGCATATGCGCAAGGAGGGTGTGAGGAAGCTCCGGGTGAATCCTGCCAGAAAAGGGGTGCTTCGATGTGCCTGTGTGCTCTAGAATGCCTGCACCCCCCACATCAGGAGGCCCCCCCAAACTTCCCTGCCCGGTCCCTCCTTGGCATGTGCTGCTCCTCGAAGAAGTGGGACCTGACGGCTTCCCCCGGAAGCTGCCAGGGCTGCTGTTGTGCCGATCAGCACGAGCTGGTCGGGCTGCCTGGTTCACGGCATTGCAATCGCCGGCATTTGCTTGCCAGGACCCACGATAGTCCCCGTGCCTCAGGGGTCCTTATGTTACTCTCCTGCAATCAGCGCCATTGGACTGAGCTCCCTCTGCTGACCTCTCGCCTTCTCCTCTGTCCAGCTTGTTTCATCATCAGCTGCCCAGCTGCTGGGCCCATGTGACACAGAGTGTATAAAACCCTCTGGGCTGCTAGGGTGGTATATGAATGCCAATACTCAATAAATCATGAAACGCTCTGTGTATGCTCAGGAAGCCTGTGGTCGCCGCTGAGAAGCATGACCTGGCAGCCTGCTGTCACAAGGAACTGCAGGGGCGCTGGGTGATCTTCCAATAAAACTGCTGCGGTTCCAGGGGCCTTTCCTTGCCTGAGCCCAGGCATCCCGTCTCGCGGCCGCCGTCGAGGCTCCCCTTCCTGGGCCACATGTTTCAAAAGTGAGCTGGCAGCAGCGGAAACAGAGAGCCGAAGCCAGGAGGCATTCGATACTCTTCGCTGGTGGGGGGCAATGGCCGAGAAGGCCCCCCGAGTGGCTTACAGGCCACCGGCCGAGGCAGTCCTTGCTTGTGGGTTTTCCGGGGAAAAGCCTTGGCGACGCACACAGGCAAAGGATGGGAGCAGAGGGCGGGGTGGGCAGCGGCCTTCAGCAGGGCTGGCGGAGCCTCCGGGCTCCCAGGGGAGCAGCCAGGTTCACACGCGCCCTGAATCCCCCGGGACGGTTAGCCCTGCTCCGTGCTCAGGCCTCCTCAGTGCCTGAGGGCGGATCGGCCAAGCAGGGCTGCTTGCGGCCCCCGCCCACAGCCCCCGTCCTCCTGCAGCTGCCCAGGGGACGCTGCGTCCCGAAGCCCTGCAAAGAGCACCTTCCGCACCCCATCTTTACATGAAGGGGGAAGCCTGGGGGAAAGTCACTCGCTGGCTCCCGGGCTGCAGCGTGGAGCATGCGCTGGGCCTGTGCAGATGAGGGTCCCTGCAGACAGCGCGCTGCAGCGCACTGCCGGTGCTTCCAGTCTCCTTTCGGGGGGGGACGCCCCCGTCACAGCAGGATTCCCGGCTTCGTGGGGCCCTGGGCGAGCCCCCCCCGAAAATACCCCCGGGATCTGCCAGCGCCTCGCATGCCGTCTCCTTCCATATGGCCTGCCCACCCTCAAGGCCTAGGGAGACCGATCTCCTTCAGGGAGGGCACCCGGAGAAGGAGCTTCTCTGGGGTGGCTCCCCAGATGCGGAATTTGCTCCCCAGGGAGGTTCGCCTGGCGCCGTCACCCGATCCTTTTTGGTGCCAGAGCAAAGCCTTTTTATTTTCCCCATGTTTTAAGACCTGAGTGTTTTAATTGGGATTTTATCATTAGTTCAAGGACGGTCTGCAAAAGTTTCAGATAAAGGAACACTAAAAGTCACTGCATGGAGGCAGCAGACCTCCTCCAAAGGAGCTGTGCCAGGATCGTGGCCAGCCAGGCCAACAGCTGCACGCACCACAGGGGCAGGTGCCCGGGCATGCCAAAGGTGGCACCCGAAACACGGAGCACCGGCCGTGGCAGGCCTGTCCACCCGTGGGCGCGATCTTTGCTCAGCGCTTGCCAGGGGCATGTTGTGAAGAGCCCTGGGCTGGGGCTCAGGAGATCGCGGTTCTCGCCCCCCGCTCAAGGATGGAGCCGGCTGGGTAGCTTGGGCTCTGTCTCAGCCTGTCCTGCCTCGCAGGGCTGTTCTGTGGACAAGATGGGGAGGGTCCGGGAGGCTGCCTGGAGGAACGAGGCAGGGTCTCCATGGAGCCAGCGAAGCTCCTCCGTCTGCTGGCAAAGGGCGCCTCCGGCAGAAAGCCTTCCCTTCCTGAGTGCCGGGGCGGCCGGTGGGGCCGGTCCTGGACGGGGGCGCCTTGAGCTGGGCGACAGCAGCTCCCGCAGCCCCCGTCCAGCTCGAGCACTTCTGGCATGGGGAGATCCGGCCCTGGGTGGCTGAGCATCTCTCAGGCCAGTTTAAACGAATTGGCAAGCCTCCCATTATTTTGTTAAACATCATTTTCATCTTAGGGACTAATACTTTTACTAATTTAATAATAATGTAATAATTTTAAATTAACATTTAGTATTTTTCCAGCACT